TATCTGATTTGGTTTTTTTTTAATAATTTCATTTAATATAGGTATTCCTTGTAAAGATTCGTCAGTATTTGTACTATGTATTGTATTTTCAAAAGCCGGTCTTAAAAGTTTGTTTTCGAGAATGATTATTTTTGGGCTCCTAGGACGTTTATTTTCTATTTCTTCGAGTGTTTTCGAAATTTCATTTGAGTCTAATTTATTCGGATCGAAATCGTTGTCTAGAAATTTGTTAATATCAAGATCAATATCTCCAGGATTATTATAAATAGAGTCGGTTTCTAAAGCATTTAATTTTATTCGTGACAAGGCGTCCGCATTTGTGTTTTGTTTACCATTTTTATAAAGAATTTCGTAATCAAATTCTTTTAGTTTAAGTCTCCATCTCATAAGTTTTGAATTTGGTTCTTTTAAGTTAAATAACCAGACTAATGGTCTGTGGTCCGTAAAAATTTGGAATTTTCTACCGAAAAGATACGGTCTAAAATATTTACAGGCCCATACTATGGCAAGTAATTCTTTTTCCGTTGTAGAGTATTTTTGCTCGGTGTCATTAAGTGTGCGAGACGCGTATGCGACTGGGTTATCGTTTGGTGGTGTGCCTTGTGATAATACGGCACCTAACGCGTAATTTGATGCGTCTGTAGTTAACACGAATTGTTTTGAAAAATCTGGATATTTTAATATTGGGGCATTTATTAGTAATTGTTTTAAATGGTTGAAAGCTGTAATAAATTGGGGGCTGTGTTCTACTTTAGATTTTTTCTTTAGACATAAGGTCATTGGTTTTGTGATTTTAGCAAAATCTTTAATGAATCTTCTGTAGTATCCTGCCAATCCTAGAAATGACTTGATTTCTTTTTGTGTTTGGGGGAGAGGAAAATTTTTTACTACTTTTATCTTGTCAGGATTTGGACTAACGCCTTCTTTAGTGATTTTATGACCTAAATACGCTACTTCTTTATGTAGAAATTCTGATTTATCTAATTGAATTTTAAAATTTGCCTCCCTTAGTCTCTGAAAAATTTTTCTTAATCCATCAATGTGTTCCTGTAGGGATGTGGAAAAAATTATAATATCATCTAAATATACTAAACAGATTTCGTTTTGGAAGCCTCTTAGCACATTATTCATAACACGTTGGAACGTCGAGGGTGAGTTTTTAAATTCGAAAAGTCCAGTACCAGTAGAAAAGGCTGTTTTTGGGATGTCATCGGGATGCATTTCTATCTGATGAAAACCGTTAGCTAGATCTAGAGTTGAAAAATACTGAGCTTTACCAAGTTTATCAAGAATATCTGAAATATTAGGCAAGGGAAATTTATCATCAATTGTTTTTTCATTAAGTTTCCGGTAATCTATGACAACGCGCCATTTACGTTTATTTGATGCATCTAATTTTTTTGGTACGATCCATATAGGACTACTCCATGGGGAATGTGAGGGTTGGATTATATTATTTTTTAGCATTTCGTCTATTTGTCTATTTACTTTGGCTTTATGTATTTCAGGATAACGGTAATTTTTTGTGTAAACGGGGGTTTCGTCAGTTAGATTAATTTTGTGTTTAATTTGATTCGTGAAAGATAATGGCACTTTATCGCAATAAAATATGTCTCGATATTCATAACATAACTTCCTAATTACTTTATATTCTTCTTTATTACAGTGACTCAGTCTTAAATTTTTTAGATTTTCTTTTTGCAGATTGTCGAAATTACTTATTGAATGTTCGATTAAATTTTCATTGTTATCTTCTATTTTTTTTATGAAATTAGTTTCACATTCATTTATCAATTCTATCTCTAGAGGTTTAATAAATTGTATACTAACAGGATCTTCAGATGTGTTAGTAATGGTTGTTAACGCGAATGAATCGACAATTTTTACTAAAGCTTCGGGCATTTCAGCATTTACAAATTTTTCATATTTTAAGATTCCTATACCATTTTGTTCTGTCACGGGTATTTTAACTTTATGTGTTGTTCTTGGTTGAATAATAATTTCATCGAATTTAAATTTGGATTCGTCAAAATTTTTATTTATTTTTGGATCCGCTGGGGTGTTTTTAATATTATGTTGGTAATACAGTGGAATTATTACATTCGGTGTTTCCAGTGTAGACTCGCTAATATTTATTTTTGATTTTATTTGTTTCAAAAGATCTACTCCTATAAGTCCATCAAATTTTGGGGAAAAGTTAAAAAGATAGAATTTATGTTGTTGATCAGGACAATTGAAAGAAGGAAATAATGGTATTGTCATTACTTCATTATGAACAGATGTTGCATGAGCTGACATTACTGAAAAATTTTCAATATTTATAAAGTCTGGGTAATATTTGTAAGCTAACTGTGGATTTATAAAACTTTTCGCGCTACCTGTATCTAATAGAAATTGAGCATCAAGTTCAGGAAAATAAACTATTGGTAAATCAGAATGATTATAATTATTAATATATATTGAAGTGTAGTTTTGGGGAAAATTTTGCGTTAAGTTTGGTTGCTTGTATTCGGAGTTTCCTGAAAATTTCCGTCCTGTTCATTATAACAGTAGTTATTTTCGTCTAATTGATATATTTGATCGGAAAATTCTTGTGTATCATAATTTGTGTCGTAGGTGTATTGTTCTTCAAGGATGGGATTTTCGTGATAATAAAAATCATAAGGATTTTCACTTTCAAAATTTGATATTTCGTCGTTTGAATTAACTTGGGGGGTTGTGGATTGATTGTCAATCTCTTTTGCTAGATAGTAATTTTTATTTGGTTGAATTTGATTTATACGGGTATTGCCATAGGTTCCAGTTTGTAAAATTTTGGGGTTGGATTTTGGTTATATTGATTAAACATCGGTCTTGTAATTGAATGCATAGGTCTTTGCATAAATGGGTAAGGTCTTGGATTAAATTGATGTCTTTGGATCATCGGGTTAATTCTTTGAATATTCGGGAAGTTTTGTCTTTGATTATTTTGGAAATTTGGTCTTGGAATATTCTGAAAATAAGTTGTTTGGAAATTATTTTGAAATCTCGGGGGGTTAAAATTATTAAAACTTGGTCGAATTGTTGGCGGTTGAAATGGGCTAGTAAAATTTTGTGAAGCTAATGGGTAATTAATTGGGTATTGACCTAATAGAGGTTTTGGTTTATTTTGCATTGCAACAGGTGTAGTTTTGGTTGAAATATCAACACGATTTTTATAAGCGATAAAATTTTCTTCTTCTAACGAGAACGACATGGCTTCTTCGAGAGATTTTGGGTTTCTTAAACGTACAACTAACTGCATATGGTAATTAAGACCGTTTATAAATGTTTTTAAAATTAGATCTTCAAATTGGATAATTTTTAGAGTTTTTATATTGATATCTTCGCATGTAGAGTTAATTTTTGAAAATAAAATACTACGGGCATCTTGCAAGCGTAAACCAAAATTATGCGCACTTTCGCTACTATTCGGTTTCATTGAAATTATATCCTGTAAAAGACAATCAACTGATCTTTGATCGGAGAACGTTGCCAGAAGGGCTGTTTTAATTTTTAACCAACTATCGAGTTCAAAACGAGAAGCTATTAAATCTGCTGCTCTACCAATTAATTTACTAATTATTGTATCGATTAAACAAACATTTATTGAAGCGTTTGGGTTATTTACATTTTGATGGTTAGTTAGAAAATTTTCGCAGATTCTAATAAAACGATTTATTTGTTTAGAATTGCCATCGAAATGAGGGATGTTATCCGCTTGGTACCTAATTAATTGAAGATTCACCGTATCCGGCATTGTGTGTAAATTAATGTCAGAATCGGAATCGGAATCAGATGATGTATTAAAATTATCGACAGAAGCTACTCTAGGTTTTAACTCTAATGTTTCAAAACGAGAAATTAATCTTTCCAGTTTGAATCAGAAAAATATTTACAAAAGAAAAACTTACATTAATAGTGAGAGAACGACGATTTTCATTCCTGGTTGTTTCGTTTCTTAATCTAGTTTTCCAATAGGATGAGCGATGCTTGTCTCTTCCCTGGGCTACGTATGAAATTCGGACGATTTTTGTTCCTTATTTCGCACCAATAGGGTTGTGGACGATGCTTGTTCCTTCCCCTGGCCAATTGAGCACTTTGCACCCACTTGAACAGTTTTTTGTGTTGTTCGGATTTCGCGAATAAACTCTTGAGAGAGACCAAACAGTGTCGATTTTGGAATGCTTGTTTCACGGAAATCCTACCGACTGCGCCAGTTTTCGTCGTGGAAAACGAATTTGATTTTTTAAAAAACTTTATTCAAGCGAGATGACAAACAAGCTAGCGATGTGGTTCGCACCGTGGTTTTATATAGAAAAATTGCTGACACTTTGAGAAACAAGTAATATAATATGTATGGGAACCTTTACTCCGCAGTTTACAGTATCAAAGCGTTTATAACTCTACTGTAGTCTGTCGACGACTTCGAGGTCACCTGATTATTTAACAAACTCCGAGTTAGGAGACAAAAGCTTAAAACCTTATTTATTTAAAAAACGATTAAAAATATTTTTGTTATCCAAAACACTTTATAATCTAGACGAATTTTTTTGAGGAAATGTTTTTTTATATGGCTATGTATATTGTACCTATTACGTACTTTGACTATTCCTATAGAATTCTGTAGTTTTCTTTGGGAAAATAATAATAATAATAATAATAATAATAATTATTTGACGCGTTATTTAGAGATTTGTCTTCTTTTAACAAACACAAAATAAGTTTAATAAATGTTTGCTTAAAAGTCAATTGTTGTTTTAAATCACAACAAATGTTCAGATGTCAAAAATTATATTTGATGTATATGGTGTATATAGTGATATTGCTTTTTGGGAAATTTTTCAAGAGTTTTTAGCTTGCATTTGATGTCAATCTCAGTGTCGCCGAGTATAACGAGGTCATCGGCATAAAGCAGAATAAGGAGTTCGTTCGTCTGCCAGAAATATCAAGAAAAGATATGGATATGGATACTTACTTACCTTATTAATACCCCTCATAGTTTCCACCTCTTCTTGCTCCACCTTCAGCTTCGCTTTCCATAAGTAATCGGTCCTCGATGTGAACTCGATCTGTCTATCGAGGATGTGAAACAATATGACGATCATGGCAAGTACGAGTGCGGTTTTGAGTTCGAACGGCAACGCGGGGAACCTAAAATCAACTCGTTGACAGACACATCTACTTCGACGCGCGAAGACCAGTCTCACTCATCGTCGTGAAGGTCTCGAGCGTGGTAGTTTTGGAAGAAATCTAAATAACTGTAGATCACTATATGGGTGACCACCGACGTTAACATTAGGCAAAATTTCAACAAGAAGCCCATCCTTAAAAATACGGAAATCGCAGCTAGCACTAGCGCCGAGCTGTATAGGTACGTCTGGAATCGTATTGAGGACAATTAAATATCATTTGGGAATATGGGGGACAGTTGACGTTGGACTTACCGGCACATATTGCAAATTGGTAATATCATCTTCTACGTAGTTAAACGAGATGTTTTTCGATATGTTATAGTCGTAGGCTGTTGGGAGCTCCGCGTCCGGTATGGGAATAGGATCGTGATTATAATCGATCTGAAACAAAACATAGTAATAATAAAAAATGGTTGGAGCAAAGATCTCTTATCTTAACCTAAAACCTGCTCCCATAACCAATTAAAGAAAACATACGGGCTTAAACAAAAATCCAATCATATTATCAATGGTGATATAGGCAACGTTGCCACTCTTATGTTTTTTCTTTAACTTTCCTATTTTAAATAGAAAGGCTATGTTTTTATTCCATTGCATATGTTTAGCTTTTGGTTCTTGGGTTATAGGTCTTTGTATTAAAAGCGATTAAATTTTTTTTATATATAAACGGAATTACAAAGAACCTTACCAAAAAGAGACAAACACAAATCTTAAAATTGAAGAGGTAGCTTCATATGAAAGTTCTATACTTTAAAAGCGTTTCGTTTTGTCATAATGCCTAGAAATATTATTAATGTTTTCGTTTTTTTCCAACTATGATAATAAAAAAGTCATACCCCTGATAAGCGATAAGTGAAGTCAAGACAATAAGCAGTCGAAATAACACTAAAATCAACCCATTTTGCATAGAACAAAGTTTTTTATCGACGGATGCGCCATGGGCGTTTCAATTTCCAGCGCCATCGCGCAAATTGTACTGGAAGATTTGGAGGAGTCCGTCCTTAGCAATGCCCTTTTTGACATACCTTTTTTCTACAGATACGTAGACGATTGCATCACGGCCATACCAAAAAACAAACAACACGAAATTCTTCAACTCTTCAACAGCTACCATCAGAAATTACAATTTACAATAGAAATAGAGTCCCAAAGTAAAATAAACTTTTTAGATTTTACCCTTGATAATTTAAAAAAAGGAATTAAAACCGAGTGGTACACTAAAGAGACCTGGTCTTCCAGATGCGTTAATTTTAACTCCCAGCACCCTATATCCAAAAAAAAATCGTAATTATTGGCTTGGCTGACCGTGCAATTAAACTCTCTGACCCGGATTTCAGAGAAAAATCGATTACTAAAGCGAAACAAGCATTAAAACTAAACAACTATCCAGAACGATTAATTAACACTATTTTCAAAAAACGTATACACCTATTCTATAACCAAACTAAACAAAAAAACAACACCCAACAAAAACAAAAAATAATTATCTTTCGCTTCCTTATATACCCAATATGTCCGAAAATTTTAGCAAAATTTTTATGAATCACAACATTACTATTGCTCACAAAAGATACAATTTAGTAAAAAACATTTTCAGTAAATTAAAAGACAGGATACCGGACGAAAAGAAGAGTCACGTAATTTACAAGATACCTTGCAACGATTGCGAGGGTGTGTAAATCGGTCAAACAAGCCAGTACCTCAAAAAAAAAATTAATAGTTACAAATACGACAAAAAAAAACGACTGCGCTGAAGAGTCAGTGCGCGGAAACCAAGCATTCTTTCAATAAACACGTTTCGCCAAAATCTCACTTGGCATCTTCAATGCTCGCGCTCCGAAAACACTTCGAACACTAGAAGGTTATCGGCGATGCGTGCGGTATATATACCCTGCGCCGGAGATGGTAACGGTGCTGCTTGTGCGGGAGGGGAGATGTCCAGTGTTCGAAGTGTTTTCGGAGCGCGAGCATTGAAGATGCCCAGTGAGATTTTGGCGAAACGTCTGCAGGATTCCAGTCGGATGCAGGATTCCAGTTAGATGCAGGATTCCAGTCGGAGTTCAACAAGCGAACGGATGATATCCCGGAATATAGTGTCATCATGTTACATAAAAGATACTTAGAATTATAAGAGCAATCCTAAAATGCATTTCTATTTAAAATAAAAAAGACAGCTTAGGGAAAAAACCATAAATGTGGCAACGCCGCCTACGTCACCAGTGGAAATTTCGCAAATTTAAGTCTAATAATTCCTAAGATATATGCGCGATTTTTGACTAACGTTATAACATCTCAGTAACAGCTATCCAGTGGAAAATAAGAGGTTTTTCAGAATAATGGTCTGTTATGCACTGTCCTTGTCCCATTGTAACAATGGCTATTAGCATGAGGTCATTCACTTCATATGAAAAGAGTATTTGTACTTTAGCGTAAAGTTATCAGGTAATAAATTTGCGTGCATAGAAATCGACCCTCTGTAAATTTTTGACTCTCATCAGTAGGGGCAGCCGGAGTCAAGGGGCAGGAGGTTTAGGGACATTGAGGATATTTTATCAGATCGGATGGTACCATATGTAGACTACATTGGAGAACACTTCATTTTGGTGCATGACAATGTACAGAGCAAGAATCATGCAAGATTACATTACAGAAGTTGGTTTTCGAGTAATGGAGTCCCGACCTCAGTCCGATCGAACATTTATGGAATTAGCTAAAACGGAGAATTCGAGCGCGACTTCGCACCCAACCTCGATCCCAGAGCTTATTGTTGCAGTAGAGGAAGAGTTGCTTAACATTCCACTAAAAACAATAGCGAACTTGATTAGATCCACGCCTAATCGAGTAAGAGATGTTATTAGGGCAAGAGGGTGTCATACCCATTATTAAAAAATAAATGTTGCTAAATGTCAATAACCATATTTGTTTTTAGTAAAAAAAAGTCAATTTGACTGGTGTAGTTTTTTTACTATGCTGAACCTAAAAAGCAGAAATAGATTTTAATCCATTTAAACTCATATTAAAGCATGGTAAATTGCCTTTCAAACAAAAGTTCACAATGGGCCGATTTCTATACACGCAAGTTTATATGTCATGAGTATGTGCAAGCAATTTTTAAACAACACACTGTTGGGTTAATAGAGTAGAGTGAAAGGTCTAAACATAATAACTTTTTCCAGGTTTTTAAAACGCTGTTTATTAAATCGAAGAAGTCTTCTGTGTAGAGTTTTTGCATTATGATATCGACCATCAAGATTAACTGACTAATTACTTAATTAATTGATTAATTGGCCTGAATGTTATATATGCATTTTATTTTATCCATTTGTGGAACATTCGTAACGTTTGAGTTTCATTCGTTTGTTTGTCTTTTTTTTTTTTAATTACCGAATGTAATTATTTCTAGCAGGATAAATATATATCCATCTATTTAAGATAGGTGTTTAGAATTTAGTATAAGAAACACTTATTGGTATAACGAAGTTAATATTGGAAGATTTAATTATTTTCTTGTTTCTTTATTTCTTCCTCGTTTCTTTTTATCTTTTTGGTCTTCTATCTGGTTCTATTTGTCTTTCTCTTTTCTTTTTGGTTCCTACGAAAATATTTTTTTGGTAATCTATCGCTCTTCCTCCTCTTCATGTAACCGTCTCAAGCATACAAATGTTTTAAAAATTGTCTGTAGTCCCTCTCTTATAGTCTACACCGAAATGTGCTCCAAGATAGTGACTCATTACAATCCTATGTATTTATTCCTTCATGCATAGGTTTTCACTGATATACAGATTTTAAAAAAAGTCATTTGGTTATATCTCAAAATAATTTTCTTTACGGTTAGAATATTGTAATCGCTTGTAAACTAAGTTCCAAATACCAAAATCGATTATAAACTCACTGAAGCTTTTCGAAAATATCTTTGTTAAGGGTTGAATAACATTTTTCGGTAACTTCATAATTTTTTTCCCTTGAGTTAACTTTTTATTTTCGCGCTGTGTATACAACACCCCCACCATACCCAACCTTGGTTAAGCCGCGCGAAAAGACAGACTTGCGTGAGCATCCGTAGTGCGAACCACCAAAAAAACAAGCTCTCTTTTGTGACCGGTTCGCGAGGACCCCGCGCTGTGTTGTGGTCCTTACCACCCCCAACCCTCCAGAAAATACCCCTAAGTAGACCCGGCCGGGCAGACGACGACGCGGGAAACCATCAAGGTGGGTGATTAACCGTTTCGGGTGTTGTATGTCCTACCATTTTCTTGCCGCTCTTTCCCGTTTAAATTTTGAGGGTGATTTACAACCACCTTCCCCCAACCCTTTACAGATTGGTCCTTCGAGCCGGATCAGAATCAGTCTTTTGGATTTTTATAGTTATTCACAAACTTTAGTAATTTTAAATACATGACTTTTCTAACAGGAAACCGAAAGTCGCTTTTTAAAAAAACTTTATTTTTCAAAACTACAAAATTAATTGTTTACCGCAAGAGCGTATTCAACTGACTAACTAACAAATAAGCGCAACAACAGTTTTAAATGATTAAAAGCTGACGCGGCAAAATCTGGCTGAGCATCTTCTTCCTATGGGTGTAGGGATGAGTCGTGACATAATTCCTCCCTCCTTAGATTCAACTTCAAGGGTTAGCGTGGAAGTTGAACATTGGCTAGCTCGATAACTGGTTCTGGTCTTCTTTCAGCTTTTTTGATATTGCTAATGTTGAGGAACTTCTTATAGCAAGCGTAGCAGCAGGCGATAATTATTATCCCGTAAATCGATAAGGTCCATAAGTTTGGAGACTCGACGAAAGGACTTATAGTGGAGATTTCTGGTTGTTTCTGCAGGATTTGGGCCCTTATTGTATGCAGCTCGTCCAACTTGACGTCGTGGAGCTCGATGTTAACATCTGGCTGAACTGGTAATTGGTTAATGACATCACCAAATTTGGATAGAAGTATCGACTGGCTAGTACTGGTTGATTTTTCGCTTACGAATACTCCTTGGCTAGACGATACCTTACAGTCGATTGGTACGTCAAACAAATATGTACCAGTCAGGATGAGAGTCTCTTCTTTATAATTGCAGACCAACTTGATTTCTTCTTTGCGAGGGAAGATACCAATAAACTGATTGGAACCTTCCATACGTTGGAATTTTGGCTTAGTGACTGTAATTTGAGTTTGTTGACATGTAGAGGTGTTACCAGCTTCAAGTAGCTGAACTTCGCAGGGATTATTTCTAGCGATTTCTTGTAGGTTGGCTTCTCCGCAGATATAATATTGTGGTAGAATCTTTTTGCAGGGGTCGCTTTTAAATGTGTAGTGCAATTTGTTTTTTAACAAGAATTTATTTCGCGGAACCATCGCTTTAAACTGACTCCCATTAAAAATAG